AAAAATCATCTTTATTTGCATTTAAGGGTGAGGAAGAAAAGGACAGCCAGGAAGAGTGAGTTGTAAGCTACTCTGGAGGGGGCAGAAAAGGCTGGGGAACTAACTCCTCAGTCAGAGAGGGAAGCCCACCTGGTATCCAGGGCTGGCAGACAGTGGCTTCCCCCTTCTTGTTCTTGAGAGGCAGGAGAGAGGTGGTGAGCTGCCCTTGGACTCCTGGCTTCTCTGGTTCCTGTCGCCCCCTTCCTGACCAACCCAACATGGAAGAGAGGCTGTCTTCCAGAGCCTGGAGACTCAGGGAGCTTCTGATTCATTTCCCTGGAGCACTAAGTCAAGATTAAAGACAATTCCCACATCATAGGGAAAACTGTCTGAGATACAGACTCCCCCAGTGCCCGTCAAAGTTTTTTCCTTTTCCTCTTACCTAGCTCTCTGACAAATGATAGTCTGCTAAGCTTAGGAACAAGCCCATCATCATGTGTGACCTCCCAGAGGCATTCTGGAGTCAGGGTCTTTCACCAAAGATTGCCAAATGATGGGGCTTTCAGACACTGTAGCAGGTCTTTTGAGAAGTTTTAGGGACAAGTAGGGACTTCCACTGGTAGAGCTGACTTTAACAATCAAATTGCCTTCAACCATCCAGAGAGGTTACTTGCTTAATTCTTGTCTACGGTCTGCAACACTGGACCAATGTAACTAGAGGGGCCCAGAGCTGCAGGGAGAAGGCTGGGTGTGGCAAGGAAGGGGAGCGGGAGAGAGGGGCTGGCACTGGGCCCATGGGTGGGTCTGGGAGCACAGCCCTGGCCTCTGCCCAGCTCAGGCCCCTCCTTTGCAGGAAGGAGGACAGCTCGTTGGATGGGGGGTGGTGTGGACATTGCTCACCTGCCATTGCCGTACTTGATGCGAATGTCGCGGCTGCGGTTGAGCTCCTTGCCATCCTTGAACCAGCGGTAGGAGGGCTGGGGGTTACCGGCAGCTGCCTCGCACTTCAGCGATTGCTTCTCACCCACCTGACCTGTCTGGCTCTTCATCTTCTTCAGCTTGGGCCGGGTGGCTGTGGGGTGCAAGGCAGGTAGGTAAGCATGGTGGTGGTGGGAACAACACCAAGCATGAGCAGCGGAGGGTTAGGGCCACCGTCCTTGGGCTGGACTGGGGGAAGGGAGGGCGTGAGCCTGGGAGACCCCCACCCCCATGTCCTTTCTTAGTTCCATTCAATAAGCATTAAAGAGTCTGCAATGATATCAATGCGGCTATTACTTATGGAGAGTTTTCTTTGTGCCTGGAATGGTACTAGGAGCTTTATACTAGCTTATGAAACCTTCGTAATAACCCCATGAGTTCACTGCAATGAATAAACTCACGTACAGAAGGGGAAATTGAGGCTCAGAATGGTAAAGTCACTTCCCTAATGGGAGTGATGGAACTGGGATTCAAACTCAGATCTCCTTGTCTTTGGTGCTCATGATCTAACTCCTGTCCCAACACTCCAGGCATTTGCTGGGCCTAGAGGACACGGGCAGACCGGAGGACAGACACGGCTCTCACTCTCAGAAAGTTCTGTTTAGCCAGGGAGCTGTAACCTGGCATCGACACCATAGCATGGTTCATGAAGGCTGGGACTGGTGGAGCCCAGAGGAGGGACCCCAACCCAGGCTGGGGCAGGGCTAAATCAGCTAAGACTAAAGGGCGGGACTGGAAGAAGGGAGAGAGGCGAGGCAGGCCAAGGCAGTGCTGTGGCTTTGGAGAACCACACGTGGTCCAGTGGGTGGGCTGACTTGACTGAGACAAGTGGGATGGCCATGTGGGGTAACAAGCCATGGGCTACACTGGCGGGCATAGGCCCCATCATGGATGCAAAGCTGCAAATGCCAAACTGAGAAGTTTCCCCATTGTTCTTAGACAACATTGTATTTCCACATGCCCCAGTCTCCCAGGCTTCACCTCCTTGCTCCTCTCCCTACCACCTAAAACACAAGAAGTAAAAAGTACTCTGTTCTCAGGAAGATGAGGGCAAGCCAGTACTCCCTTCTGGAGTATGTAATAATTTCCATTGGTATAGTCCATTACAGGACATGCAACACCTTCATGCACACTCTCATTGGTCCCTGAGCTTTGTGAGGCAAGTGTCATACCGACAGTGATGGTGAAGACGGGACTCAGACCAGTTAAGAAACTTGACTGGAGCCACATAGCCAGGCTGCCACAGAGCTAACATAAAAAAGCCCAGGTATCTATCTGGATCTGCAATGCATCAGGCTGGTGTCTGCTTTTGCAGTCTCATCTCTCTCTGAGGAATGAAGACCATGATGCTGGGGCCAGCAAGTTGTGTGCAGACTGACTGGCCTTGTCCAGGCCATTGGTCCTTTCCTTGGCAGCTCAGAGTTCTGACAATTGGCCAGTGCTGGCTCTGGAGAAAGGCAGGTGAGAGGATCTGGCTAGAGATAGGGGTTCCCTCATTGAACTCAACCCTGAGCTGCTGCTTGTAAGTAGGGAATAGATGGGAGTTGGCAGCTCAGAGTTCTGACAATTGGCCAGTGCTGGCTCTGGAGAAAGGCAGGTGAGAGGACCTGGCTAGAGATAGGGGTTCCCTCATTGAACTCAACCCTGAGCTGCTGCTTGTAAGTAGGGAATAGATGGGAGTGGGGTTCAGGGAACAGAGGAAAATGTACTACATACATTCTTGTGAATTAATTTTGTTCATTTTAGAAAATTAAAAAATATAGACAGGTAAAAAGAAGAAAACTAAATCATCCGTTATCCCAGTACTCAGAAATAACACATACACACCACGTTTAAACAAAATGGATCAGTGCCAGTAACATGTTTCTTTCATTTAATGAAACAATGTAGCTGTTTCATTTTGGTATTAAATATTAATAATAGCATTTCCCAAACTGAATTCTATAAGATACCAGTATCTGGAGAGATGAGAATAGATATTACTTGAGAAAAGGTTTCCATGAGCAGATCGATTTGGAGAACATGTGGGTAAACACAGTTAAAGAAGTATCTTTATTGATTTCAGTATGACTCTCTAAGTAAGGGCCTTGAAAGTTTTTCTTGGAATTGTTAGTAGCATTTTCAAGGAAATAAAGTTCTATTATATGGAACAAGTTCTATAACATAATTCATACATGTTTATATTTATAGATATATGCATATTTTATTTTATTTTCCTTTTTTTGTCTTTTTTACTGACCGGTAATGGGATCGCAACTCTCGGTGTCGCGCCCATACTGGGGACCGGCAACGGGATCGCAACCCTCCGTGTTGCGCCCGCACCACGCTTAGCCAGTGAGCGGGAACCGGTCTCCACATGGGATCGCAACCCTCGGTGTTGCGCCCGCACCACGCTTAGCCAGTGAGCGGGAACCGGTCTCCACATGGGATCCCAACCCTCGGCGGGAGCGCCGCCGCCCTCCCAAGCAGCGCACTCTCCAGTGCGCCACTGGGCCGGTCCAATATATGCATATTTTAAAAGATAATATAATCGATTCAAAATTCAAGGAGTGAAAAAGAGTATATGGCTTAAAAAACAAGTCCTGGTCTAACTTTGGACCATGTTGCCTTTCCAGGAGGCAATCAATTTTATCAGTTCCTTTTACACCCTTTCAGAGATCTTTTATGCATATAGAAAAAACCCTTCAGTATTCACACACACACATTTTTTTCTATAGCATCATTTTTCATGGCTGCATGCTATTCCTGTATGGGTGTATCATAGTTTATGTAACTGATTCCTGTTGCGGGGTATTTAGAATGCCCCCAACCTCTTAATACAAACAACTCCAGAGGAACACCTTTGTAGCTTCATCTGTGCACACCTCTAGTGTATACTGCTGTCTGGGCAGGATGGCGCCAGACTCAGACCGCCTGTGTTCAAATCCAGGCTTTGATGCTTGTTAGCTTTGTGTCCACAGGTCATTGACTTAATTCTTTTGCCCCTCGGTTTTCTCATCTGTAAAATACAGGTGATTGATAAACAATAGCTCCTACCTCGTGGGATGATGGCTGTGAGGATTATATGAGATAATGCGTGTAGAACCTGGCACGTAGAGAGCATTTAATAAAGGTTAGTTATTATTGTTATTATTATCCACAATCATTTCCTAAGGCAATCTTCCTAAAAGCGGAATTGCTGCGTCAAAGGGTATGCAATCTCCCTCGGCTTTGCACATTGCCAAATTGCCCTCTGGAAAGGTTGCACCAATTTGTGCTCCCCCCAGTGAATGAAAATGCCTGTTTTTTCCAAACCCTCACCAACACAGGGTATTATCGTGTCTTTAATCTTTGCCAATTAGCTAGGCAAAACATAATGTCTCTTTGTTGTTTTCATTTGCATTTATTTGATTAATGATGAGGCTGAACATTTTTCATAAGTGTATTGGCTCATTGTATTTCTTCTTTTGAATTGTCTGTTCATGTCCACAGTCTGTTTTTCTATTGAGTGCTCATCTTCTTATTGATCTGTATGAGCTCTTTATAAATATTAAGGCTATTAACCTTTTGCTACAATGTTTTTCCACCCAGTTACTTACTTCTCACATTTTAAAATGCTTGTTCTTTTTTTTTTGGCACTCAGAGGTTTTAGTGCATCAGATCAACCTATCAATCTGTTAACTTTCTGGAACTTCATTATTCTAAGTGTGACAGAAGCCCTGACTCAGTGTCCTTCCCTTACTTAAACCCCACCCTCCCTCATCTGCCCTGGAGCCCCCAGTCACTTCTTACCATAGTTCTTAGCCCAGAATGCTTTAAAACTTCAGTAGGTGCCGGGGACACATCCTAGACATTCTGAGGCAGATCCTGTGAGAATGGGTCCACGTGTGTGGGTTTTAAAGGGATCCTCAGGGGTCTTTCTGACTTTTTTTGGGGGGGAAATATAACATGTATGCAGGAAAGTGCACATATTGTAAGTATATAGCTCAATGACTGGTTACAAACTGAACACATCTGCGTGGGTGGCCTTGCTCTAAGGTTCGGCTGTCTTTCTGACTTTTTTTGGGGGGGAAATATAACATGTATGCAGGAAAGTGCACATATTGTTAAGTATATAGCTCAATGACTGGTTACAAACTGAACACATCTGCGTGGGTGGCCTTGCTCTAAGGTTCGGTTGATACCCAGTGATCTTTCCACTTGGTCAAGTGTTGATCTCCAGCTAGTTCCCTCCCCTGTTCTTGTGAACTGGGAACACAGAGAGCTCGTCTCAGGTTCTAAAGTGTCCCTTTCACCCGTGTGGAGTGTGTTGACAGTTCTAAGATAAAGGAACCCCTGTCACCACCACCGCGAGCTACTTCCCACCTAACCAGCCAGGGCGGGGATGGGGGTGATGCCTCTCGACATGAGTCCTGGCATAATACTATGCACTGCGCCTGTGGCCACTGTTTAATGGTGGTGGTGATGGGCTGGAGGGTGTGTACATAGAGATTGATTCCAGAAAGAGCAGGTATGACCCTAACTCAGAGGGCCTGAGGGACTGGGGACTCCAAAGTCATTCCCTACCACCATGGAAACAGGACGGCATTTCAGATCACAAAGAGCTTATTCCATCTAATGCGAACCCTATGTGACTCAATCGCCACTTCTTGATAGTCCATTCACTTCAGAACAACCCCATCTAGTTCGCTTGTTCCCATTCATTCATTCAATTCATTCCCAATGAATTCACTCAGTCACTCAACCTACTACATGCCAGGCAGTGTTCTGGGCCCTGGGCGTAAAGTAGTGTGAATTAGAGAGATAAGCGTCCTTCTCTTAGGGAACCTGAACTTTAGTAACAGGGATAGACAATAAGCAAATGATCAACAGGAAATTTAAGGCAGTAATAAGCAGCTGGATAAAAGTCTTAAGGTAGGAATGAGCTTGGTGAATTCTTGGGGCTAAAAGAGGTGGGAAGAGGAGAGTTTAGAGAGGTGGACAGGGCCCAGGTGACGGGATCATGTGAGCTAGATGAGAAGTCTGGATTTGTTTTGTTGTTTTCTTTTTTTACTTTTTTTGCACCTACTAGAAAATTTTAAATTACATACGTGGATTGCATTATATTTCTATTGG